GTATACAATGGTGTGGGTGTATGTGTGTGTGTGGGTAAACAGTCATCAAACATTTGTCAGCCTCTCCATAAGAAGATTTAGACAGTCCAGGATTTTTAACCAAGTATGATTAATTGTTGATACACATCCAAATTTTATTTATTAATCAGGATTTGCCATGCGTCAGCTAACATCACACCTTCACGTGTGTTCAAACTATTGGGATTCACCCATATGTGCAGGGCTTCAGCAGTCAATCTGTCTTTATACGAACCAAAACCTTTCTGGAGAACCTTAGTCTTATCGAAGTCGATTTTGTGTCCAGTTTCTATCGGATGCAGTGCCATCACTGAATTGTTTTCTAGCTTCTTTGAGTCTGCAGATGTCTTTGGAAGCATCTGTAGACATTGTTTATGCTCTTTCACTCTTACACTTACCTGTCTCGAAGTTTCTCCTACATATACGGCGTTACAATCCCCACAGTTCATCCGGTACACACAATTCTGTTGCTTTCCTTCCTCTGTTTTATCCTTAACCTTCACAAGTGATGAGCGTAAGGTGTGAGTCGCACGAAAATACACTATTATGTTATGGTCGTTAAGGATTCGCTTTATCTCAAAGGATGTTTCTCTGCGGTAAGGAACCGCCGCTGTACCAACCCAATTCTTAGCAACGGGTTTCGATCTATCATCATCTTCACATATAAAATATCTATTCATGAAGGCCTTAAGATAATTATTTGATTGAAGAGTGGATTGAACCAATTTTTATACACTCATTAGAAACAAATGCGATTATGAGATGCTCTGGTCCTCCAAAAATGTGGTTAAGAAAAGTGTATGATAGCTTCGTCATAATTGGACGTAGTTTGTTGAATGAACTTTTTAACCTAATAAATAATATGTCAGAAACCACCAAGTTTTCCAAAGAGGTTGAATCCGACGTGAATGATTTGGCGTTCCTGGACTGTTTAGTGCAAAGAAAATCAGATGGTAAATTTAAAATGAACATTTTCAGAAAGCCGACAAATTCGGACAGCTGCTCAGACTACTATTCAGCACACCCCTTTATCATCAAAGTAACTGTGGCCAAGTCTCTGATTAACATAACAAAACGTCTAGTAACTGAGGAGGAAGAGACTGGCAAGGAATTAGAAATGGTTCAATCCACTCTTGAATCAAATAGTTATCCTAAAGCCTTCATGAAAAGATATTTAAAATGTGAAGATAATGATAGATCGAAACCCGTTACTAAGAATTGGGTTAGTACAGCGGTGATTCGTTAACGCAAAGAATCATCCAACGCAAGACATTCATATCGAGAAGAGTTTAATCATATGAGTCAGTTATTTACTTTCAAATCTGTTCTCATTGAATTGACTCGAGAGGAAGAATTAGTACTGAATCTCCCACATCAACAAAATCATACTACACACACGTCATCGTCTAAATACTGTTCAATACTTAGTAATTTGGACAGGATACTCATAGTTTCCCAGTGAAATGAAGTCGTCACTTATTTGTCTCGTTAGAACAACGAAATCTGGAATAATGCGAACATGTTCATAGTGCATAATATTTTATTAAAGCATTTCATTCAGCTTTGTCTACTTTTGAGTAGTATAAGTAGTAAGTAGAATGTACTTCATATGAGTCCAAGTTATTAGTGATAATAATAATAATACAATTCCAATATACAGAATATTCCTCAAGATCAGCGGTTGAATAAAGACATTGTATTGGTTTTATAAGGTAAGACATCTGGTTGCAATAGGTCGAAGATCCACTACGGAGTCAAATATTGTCCAATAAAACTAGCATGTCCATGTAATGATAAGATTGTCTATCTAAGTAGTCAATTGTTTAAAATGTTGAATCTGTTTTTGATCAGTTCCTATCAACAGGTCACTTTTGTTTCAAAAAATATTACCAAACTCAGACTCAATGCCTCGAGTATTATTAACTATGAAGATTTGAAGATCTATGGGTGAATGAAACCATAACACATGAATAAATTTCACAATGTGTTGATTGGTAGTTACTGCACATCCACAGTTATTTGCACAGCACGATTTAGACATTCTTGTGTTCGTCAGTGAAGCATCTCAGATGATCGCCAGTTAATCTCCACTTGTCTTTATTTCAGTGATGATGTGACTGGACAGTTATTACTTCAAATGAAAATGTAGAACACCACTTCAATTGAATCTTCCTGCAGAAAACAAAATATTAAGATGAAGAGAAAGAAAAGAAGAAAGAGGAAGGGGTGAATGGTGATCAGTGGACAATAAATAACACCACTGCTCAATCCAACAACCATTGAACGGCGATAGAACATAAGCTGTCATTGGCGAACTTCACATTTCAAGGTGAGAATCCACCATACCTCCCGCACACGATAATATGTGACTTGTTTGATGACAATGCAGAAAACAAGATGCATACCAAGATGGTATATACCACTACTGTTCGACAGAAGTAGATTCTGTCTACGTGTATCAATCAGTAGTATTCACTGTCTTGCAATAACAACAGCAGTAGTGATTGAATATGTAGACTATGAGTGCATATTGATTACGCCTGTTGTGCAGATTTTGAATAAGTCAACTGGTGACTGTAAGTGTCCAACAGATGAACTCCCATAACCTGACTGTATTTCTTAACAATGGAACAGATTTATTGTTTCACCAGTACTCATTTGGTACAGCTGTTGATTGCACACTGAAACAAGCATCAGTAACTAACGTAGTGAGGTGGAGTGACATCCTGCCTGATATACAGCACATTCATTTAACTATACTCTTTCAATGATATCAGCATACTCTGTGAAAGAGACTGAGCAATGAGAAACGAGTCTCAGTTGCTCAATTGTCAACAAGCTTCCGTTGTAACCGGGTGGTCCTGCGTTCGAACCCCAATTGGTGCGCTTTACTGTATGGTCCCAAACTGGTGTGACGAAACATCTGTCCAGTACTCTCAGCTCTTGGCGTCAGTGGTTCAGCCGTAGTCCACAGTTTGATTCCCGATCGGCTCACTCCTAAACCTCGTTCAGCCGATAATTAGAACGGTGAAAAGGGAAGGTTGGGCTTGAGGCTAGCAACACCACCACAGAAAAATAAAAATTACTGCTACCGAAACTTCAAGGCTCTAGGCTGAAGCGATATGTTCCACTGGGAACCTAAAGGAATATAATAAAATAAATAATTACAAATCAGAAACACTGCGAAATTGACCATGGCACACTAGAAGAAAACTCAAACATGTGAAGCTATCAGCAGTATGGACGGAGATACCATAAGTAAATCCAATTATCATTGTGTACAGTAGATTCGACTCTTCAGCAAAATGAAATATTGTATTGTTCGTCGTCAGGGATAACACTCAAAACTGTGTTGTAGTCATGGAAATATGAACGCCAAGAAATCCATCAGATGCTAAACATCAGAAGCTTCTATTTAGTTCTTCTGAATAGAATTAGAATCTAAAGAGGCAAGTGCGAAAACGTGTTGAGAAATGTTTTGGAAATTTCCAAGGGACTGAGAACACCTGCAGGAATATCCTCGATATCATACTTCACATGGCCTGTAGTCCACATCCACATTTTAATTTAGCTTATAAACACAAACCTTAGGTTTACCCTACGAGAAGGTGACTACCCAAACTCTTTAGTTCATTCATTCAGACTGCTGAATAAAATTAGAATTTAGAGGGACGTGCACAAAAATGTATTAATGTACGGTATTGAAAAAGTACTTCAGCTGGGTTTGAATTTTCATTTGGAGCTTTCATTGGAGGCTGTGATTGTTAGGCAGACGCCGAATCTTCCATCCTTCTTTCTGAACTTACTGCTGACTGAGGCAGGTGTAGGAGTGAATCGGCCGGTGATCAATCCTCAGACCACCTTCATGATCGGCGAGCATTCTATCAGTGAACCACCGACGTGAAATTGATATGCGGTAATGAAATGAAGATTGTTAAACTTCTAATGCTCCGTCCTACTGAAGTTCACCGAATGACAGAATTCATGAAAGCAGTAATAGATTGTAAGCAGATTTCTTTCATATTAATGATACATGATTTTCGAACGAACTGATTTTGCTGTGATCCAATAAATTCGAATAGGGTGTAAATATAAAGTTCAAAATCAAATGATAGTCACTACTCCTACTCATATATTTTGCAACTATCCGGTCAAATCTTGGTCACAGTTCAGATGAGTTTGAAACAAGATTTGAGACTTCTTGAATCGAATACGATATTCACATTCAAGACAATATAGTTT